GCTCGGCCAGGGGCACCGCAAGGGCCACCCCTTTGCCATCGTTTGGCCAGGCGGGCACAGGAACCCCAGCACCAGAAGGGGTTGTAGGTTGAGGGACACCCCATGGCACAGGGTGCTCTGGTCCATGGGATCGCAGGCTCCCACCCCGCTGAACCCCCCGACAGCAGCCGCCCCCGGGCACCACAAGCCCTGGGCATCTTTGGGGCACCTGCCAGCTCACTGTCCTGGGACCACCGCTGCTCCTCCCGTCGCTGCCCTCTCCCCAGCACGCAGAGACCTGCCCTGGTAGCCGGGGTTTGGCCAGCACTGGCCAAGTCTCTGCTCTCTGGGCCCACAAGCGCATCGCCATTTCGCTCGGGGGTCAGTGGAAATTGGCCTCCCCCAGCCCCTGCCAGCCCCCCAGGCCCCACATATCAAGCAAGAGCCCTCCCAGGGCTGAAGTGCTACTTATCTTTAAGAGTTTTTGCAATAAGTCTTTTTAGTAATTATTATTTCTAAACGACAGTTTCGTTTTTATTATTGTCATTATTATTATTATTATTATTATTATTTGCTTCCTGACCAAAATTAGGAACTGGGGGTCAGTCCTTTGCATCCAGCAATTGCCCAAAGATGATGGGTCGGCCACATCCATAAATTTTCTTATGGATTTTTCCCTAATGTTTCATTGCATTTCATTTATTTATATTTTCTTTCTTTTCCTTTCCCATTAAAGCTTTTCAAGATGGGGCTGGGATTTGACCTTCACGCTCACCTGTTGACTCGTACACCTTTTTTGTTCGTTTCTATTGCATCATCTACATTTTATATTTCTTATATATAATATATATGACTATATATATATGTGTACATATATATATATATATATCTCTATATATGCATCATACCAGTGTAGATACCCATCTAGTAGCATTTAGGCCTTGTTCTGGTGCCATTTTTTTTTCTGTTACTGATCTCTGAATGCCTTCAAGTGTATAAAGTGTTGAATTCTCTCTGGTATCTGTACTATGTACACACATTTTCATAGGAAGCACAATAAGATGACAGATGCATTGTACATCAATACCTGCTACTCTTAACGATGATATAAAGAATGATAGAACTCATTGAACATTGAGCTTCTCTCTCTTGCTGAGGCTGTTGGAAATGCTCCCCAAGGAGGTAGGTGGGGACGGCATCATCCCAAGATATTCCTGAAAGGCATCACTGAAATCCCAGAGCCAAGATCAAAAGGAGGGAGGGAAGGAAGGATAAAGCTTTTGGTCCAGACTCCCAGAACTGTCTTTAAATGCACCCGAGTACCAGCAACATCAGAGCTGACGTTGAGCAGAGTCACATTGAAGTGTCCCTTTGCCAAGTGCTGTGCTTCAGTATTTGAAGGGAGCTCTTAGAAACAGGAGGGAGAGTGACTTTTGACATGGGCAGAGGGTGATGGGACAAGGGGGAATGGTTTAAACTAAGAGAAGGGAGATTTAGATTGGATATTAGGAGGAAATTTTTCACCCAGAGGGTGATGAGACACTGGAAGAGGTTGCCCAGAGAAGTTGTGGATGCTCCTCCCTGGAGATATTTAACACCAGGTTGGATGGGGCCCTGGGCAACCTGATCTAGTGGTTGGCAACCCCTGTCCCCAGCAGTGGGGTTGGAAATGGATGATCTTTAAGGTCCTTTCCAACTCAAACCATTGGATGATTCTAATTGATGATTGTTCTGGGTCCCTAAGCCAGCTCCAGCAGCGCTGCCTGGTCCTGCACTGCCCATGTGAACATCCCCCGAGGGACACTGAGGACTCAAAATTTCCAGCTACAAAGAGCAAAAGTAACACACCAGATCCAACACTGGGCATCCAAAAAAAGCCCTCAGGACCCCATGGAGACTGAATAATAGTGAGTGGGCAGGGAACACTGAAAGGCCAAACTCCCCCTGGTCACTTGGCTCTGGTCACGTCCCCGTTGCTCCTGGAAATGGCAGGCGGGCGTTTTGCATTTAAACTAGAACGGTCTTACTGCTATTCTGGTCCTTCTCTGCCAGAGCTGGTGCTGCAAAGGCCACAGGGTGGGTTTTGAATAGGAACAAGATAATATAGCTAAGCCCAGAAGGGAGTTAATGAACCTAAACTAATTGCAGCCAGTCAGTGTGACTAGCCAGAGCAGTTGACCATGCCCGCTCCCTCCAGAGCGCCATTCCCAGCAGCTCCTCTTGCAGGGGCAGGCAGTGACCCTGTCTCTGCAGCTGGAAACTCTTCCACAGCTCCCCATTAACCTGCTGGGCTGTGCTGGGAGCAGGTCACCCCATCCATCTGTCACAGCCTTGCACTGAATAGGTGCATCCCCAGCCTCAGCATGGCTGGCTGAGGGTTCTGCTGCTGCTGGACACAATGTCTGGGAGATACAGCCTGGAATGGACTCAGAGAGGAGGTGCCTGGACCCCAAAGGCACCACAGTGGATGCAGTTCTGTGGTGGTTGCACTGGGCTGGCACTGGGC